CAGGTTGGGTTGAGAGGTGTTGTTGTAGGATATGGTACACAGTTATTATTGTGAGTTCACAGGTTGGGTTGAGAGGTGTTGTAGGATATGGTACACAGTTGTTATTGTGAGTTCACAGGTTGGGTTGAGAGGCGTTGTTGTAGGATATGGTACACAGTTGTTATTGTGAGTTCACAGGTTGGGTTGAGAGGCGTTGTTGTAGGATATGGTACACAGTTGTTATTGTGAGTTCACAGGTTGGGTTTAGAAGTGTTGTTGTAAGATGTGGCACACAGTTGTTATTGTGAGTTCACAGGTTGGGTTGAGAGGTGTTGTTGTAGGATATGGTACACAGTTGTTATTGTGAGTTCACAGGTTGGGTTGAGAGGTGTTGTTGTAGGATATGGAGGTGTCCATTATTCATGAAGTATGTTTATATAACAATTATGCCAACATTGCAAAAATTATCATTTTATACAAAATAATGTCAGAATTGGGTACTTAAAGGATTTTCAACCCTTACTAGGAATACTCGACAATAACTGAATGTTCAATATGTTACTGATTTATCTTTATGCCAAGACTACTTGACAAAGTAAGGTAAAATCTTTCCAAGTGTGTCTGGGATTATATAGAGGATTGGGTTCATAATATTGAAACTACTTTAAATATCCAAGTCTGCAAATGACATGACCACAGCCAATAAAAAGTTGCAGTGAAAATGATATATATTAGAATCGCATTTTGACATTGCTTGACATATTTTAGGTAGTAGGATACCACTGACAACTGTTTACTTTTGGAAAAGGTATGTATTGGTCCTTTCTGAAGCAAAATATTCATATACTCGGGTGTGTTGAAATTAGGAATTTTGAATTTTCAATATGAGGATATTACTTGCGCTTAATATAAAGTAAAGGAATATGGATTAACTTGGGGTATCAGGACCATTTAGAAAGAGACCTCAATAAATCATACCCCAGCTGTGGTAAGTGAGATGCAACATTTTGTAACGAGCAAGAATCCACAAGGGTTAGCAGCAAGAGTCATCCACATGCAATATAATCAAGAAGGATCTCTCCCTGGATAAGTGACAGCTGGAGAATATTATAAATGGATAGAGGAAACGATGAAGGAAGGAGTGATATGCTTTGGATACTGTCTTATGATGTAGTTATTTGCAATGGAAACTACACCACAGAGCTATTTTCAAGATAGAGCATAACTGGATGAAGCGACATGAACTGTGATGACAGTCGTGGCACCAAAAGCATTTGAATATAACTTAACTTCTGTAAAATATGGTTTCACTTTTGGATAAACTTATTATAGTTTGAGAATAATAATAATTAAACTTTAATCGTTCATAACATCCCATTTTTACCATCATTGAAATAAACCTTAAGTCTGCTGCTTTTAATTTCTTGAAACAGTAAAGTTTCTTTGAAATTGAAAACATTTTTATGTTCAAAAGTATAAATCATGGGCGAATTTGTGTAAGTAAGAAATATAGTTGAAATGGACAGCAACTGCCTAGTTCAAAGTGACTCTTGTAAAGAAAATCTTGTAGGACTAATACAAAAGTAGCTTATTTGGAAAGGAAGACCTTTCGAAAGACTTGTATCTTCAGGTCACCTTATACCTATTTCTGCAGGAGTTTATATGAACACGAAATGATAGGCTGGTGGTTCTTGTAATGTGATTGGTAGAACAAGTGATGATTTGACCAATGGTAGACATAAATTGCTGATTTCCAGACCCGAGTCTGTCTAATTCAATCCTACTGGATACCATATAAATCCTTGAAACAAAAAAATTCAAGCTAACTTGAAGACGGGAGTCTCAAAATGTCTTCCTTTCCATCTCACCTATCTTTTGTACAAGTGTCATTCTGCACCAGAGTTGCTGGCCAATTTAACTTTATTTGTTCATCATGAAGACGCTGCCTAAATCATCTATAAAATAATAAATACAGGATGGATATTAAATATAAATATATTTCTCTGAGCTTACTTTACTATATTATATTAGCACTCACCGTTTACGTTCAAATGTGAGCGCTACCTAGGAACCAGTAATTTAAATAAAACATCAAGATCGATACAAAAATAACTTCGATAATTTGAATCGTGTACTCAGTTACGTAACCCTAGTTAAACCCTTTATTATATGATTGTATGTTAAGAAGTTAATATCGCGAATGGAAAGAATATACTATTAACATCATCTTTCAATTACCCGTTGAACATATTATACAATAGATTTATATGAACTGAAAATATAGTGTAATATATAGTTTTGACAAGGCTAGCTTCGTACTTTTTCTTATCACAGTGTTGGGCCCTCCAGTGGCACAGCGGTATGTCTGCGAACTTACAACGCTAGAATCCGGGTTTTGATACCCGTGATGGGCAGAGCACAGAGAGCCCATTGTGTAGCTTTGTGCTTAATTACAAACAAACAATCACAGTGTTGTAAATAAATGGCCTTAAGTCTATATGTCGACAGATTTTTTAGAACATCCGGACTTATAAAGCTGATATACGAGTCGCAATCCAGTGGCTCAGCGGTAAGTCAAGTCTGAAGACTTATAACGCTAAAAATTGAGTTTAGATATCCAAGGTGGGCACAGCATAAATAACTCATTGTACAGCCTTGTGATGAACAATAAACAATTTTTATTAAAAACTGAAATTAGTAAAACCTGATATAAAAGCGTGTTATTTTTAATATCACAAACGCATGTTTTGAATTATGATGAACACATCTAGATCATAAAACTAACAGTAGTAATAAATTAATTATTTTTACTCTTTTACCAACGAACAATGGGATTGACCGTAACATTATAACGTCCCCACAGCTGAAAGGGCGAGCATGTTTGGTGGGCGGGGATTCGAACCCGCAGATTGCGAGTCGAGCGCCCTAACCACTTCGAAAGACAGGATAAGAGGATATTTCTTATAATGACCACCATAAAAATAATTTCTTGTTGAAATAATGAGCTTAAAACTCTTGTTATATGTTTTCAAATAATAGAATAAAATTAATCTTTGGTTAATGTCGTTTAATAACCTTAAAAACATTTGTATAAAACATTAATAATCGAGTTATTAGTGCTCTCCGAGAGCTTATAACACGGACATCTGGGGTTCGATACCCGCGGTAGGCAAAGCACAGATAGCCCATTGTGTAGCCTTGCAC